GGGTGGGGAGGGGGTCAGGGAGGAGGTGGGGGGGCGCAAAAATCCTAGCACCGGCCCTGGCTGGACGTAGGTGGGCGGGATTTGGGGATAATTTGCATATACAGTTTGGGATGGAGTGGGGGGATTAGAACCCCAGTCTGGTTTTGCTCTCCGGGAACTCTGGGAACTTCCTGTCCTGCCAGCCGCGCATCCTCGTCAATGAAGAACCCTTCCTGAGTCCTACACAAGGTCAGGTGAAGACCCGGAATGACCCTTAACCCTTTCACCACAATCAGCACATTGTTCTCCTGTCGCTCGGTCTGGCTCGGGGTCATCGGAAGGAGATCTCCTCCACTGTCAGGATGTAGTGTGCGTTGTGTGGACTCCTCCCACCGTCTCATCAGGTTCCTCCTCTCCTGTCAGGACGCACGCTGCCAGATCTGGGGCTCTTCACCATCAGACTACTGGGATGTCTTCTCCTCACCTTCTCCAAGTCTTAGCAGGCCATCTTAGAACAATAGGTATTCACATGCCTCACCCCCCCCCCCCTTCCCAAATCTCAAAATTAAGGACTATATACCTCATTTAAGATTGTGGGCGGAGCCAGGCTGGGCTGAGGGATAGGCAGAAGAGGCAGCCGCCTTGGGGCGGTAGTGCAAAAAGAGCAGGACCTGCAAAGCTCTGCTGCAGGGGTAACAGTCCATGGGGGAAGCACACGTTGCCCTTTTTTTGCCCTGGCGGGGCTAAAGGACATTTTCACACCACTGGGCGGAGCTATGCAAATCATTCCTTTATTCCCCAGAACTGGTTTATAATATAGATTGACATATCTTCCAACTTCCTGAGATGGGAAACAAAGTATATAAACAAAGGCCACGCCTTCTGCCACGCCCCCATGCACAATGTTTATAAACAAAGGACACGCCTTCTGCCACGCCCCCGTGTACAATGTTTATAAACAAAGGACACATCTTCTGCCACGCCCCCATTTACAATGTTTATAAACAAAGGACACGCCTTCTGACACGCCCCCATGTACAATGTTTATAAACAAAGGACACACCTTCTGCCACGCCCCCATTTGCAATGTTTATAAACAAAGGACACGCCTTCTGTCACGCCCCCATTTGCAATGTTTATAAACAAAGGACACGCCTTCTGTCACGCCCCCATTTGCAATGTTTATAAACAAAGGACACGCCTTCTGCCACGCCCCCATTTACATGTGATCTGGGTGACATGTAAAGGAACAATCGGCTTCCCTCACTCTACATGTAGCTCGGCTTCTACAAAGCAACTTACCGCCCGGAACTTCCCCACAAGGACACCGCGGCCGCCCCTCTGCGCCCCTCTGCGCCCCTCTGCGCCCTGCCACCCCTCAGCGCCCTGCCGCCCCTCTGCGCCCTGCCGCCCCTCTGCGCCCTGCCGCCCCTCTGCGCCCTGCCGCCCCTCTGCGCCCTGCCGCCCCTCTGCGCCCTCCCGCCCC